GACCACAACGTGAACAGAAGTTTTGGGAATCGCCCAAGTCTCAAGCATTTCCTCAAGCATCCTTGCTATTGCTTGACTGGTGTGAGAGCCCTGAAATTTCTTTGCGTGGAGCATCACTTGTTGTAGAGAGAAATCACAATCTATCCACTGCGCTGTTAAGCTCATGAGAGACACTGGACTCACACTACTGCTCCAAATGTCGGTGGTGAAGCTAATTGCCTTCATGTCCTTCTGCAACATGCTGGAAATGTGCTTTTTAACTGCCTTGTGTATCTGCGGTAAGATGACATCTGTGATGTGGCGGCGATTGGGAATCTCATACCTCGGCTCCACAACATTCAGAAATCGCCGAAAACCCATATTATCGACTATTGAAAGCGGTTGGTCATCCAGAACAATAAATTGGCTAAGCGCCTTGGTTATTTTCACAGCTTTTGGGTTGTCTCTTGCCAGTTTTTTTTTTGGAAAGGTTTCCTGCAGCTTTAGCTTCTGAGTGCTACTGCTAGCAGCAAATTCTTCATATTCACTTTTGTGCTTCAATTTCAAATGTTTTATCAGATTACTGGTGTTACAAGAACTTAACTGTGATCCACCTCTCGATATTTTTGCAGGACAAAGTTTGCAGTCTGCCATGCGTGCGCTGCCCTCGTTAATTTTAAAATAGTTCCAAACCGCTGACATTCTGGGGCTGTCTCTGAAAGACTCCAATAAATAATCTGCTCCACCTTGGTTAAAAAAACAGAAAATATAAAAGAATTATTAGAAGCGGAAAATACTATCCACTGTTTATTTAACCATTTGCTGACCGGGACGTTAAACCACCTGGCCATTTTTCATGATTCAGCACTGCGGTACTTTGACTGACATTTATTCCGTCATGCAACGCTGTACTGAAATGATTTTAATACCATTTTTGGGGGACAGATAGAGCTTTCTTTTGGTGGTATTTGATCACCACTGGGGGTTTTCATTTTTTACTATATAATGAAAAAAGTACCTCAAATTTAGAAAAAAGTTTTTCCCTACGTTATGCTATGAAACAGTTATTATTACCCAAATTTTCGGTAAAACATAAAAGACAGAGTCACATCAGGTAAATAGACACCAAACATGTCAAGCTTTAAGATTGCGCGTATCTGCGAAGTTGCAAAAAACTACCGTAGCCAAAATTGGCCATAGGCCGTTCTTTAAAAGCGTTTACTGTTCATCAGTATAGTGTTAATAGTGATTGATGGACCTAGAATTATTGCTCATGCTCCAACATTCATGGTGATATGTAATGTGTGGTGCAATGGGACAATGCACCACAAAATAGTCATGCCGTGAAGTGAATCATTTTTTTGTTTCAAATCTCAACATGCAGTTTGAAAAAAGCTCACAAGATGCCGTATGGGTAGGAAGTGGACAAAGGAAGCTGATCAACTGTGGATGGAATCATGTAGAAAACTATAATTTAGTTTAAAATGTACGTTTAAGATTAGTTTTTTTACTTTTGGAAAAGCTTTGTGGAGTTATGAAAATTGAAGCAAAAGCAGAGGTTTTGCCTACGACATTGCAATTTGCAGGTGCAAAACTATGGGTTCCAGCCAGGGATTCATAGCTGAATACATCATGAATAAATAACATATTTTCTTCATAGCTGATTCAAAGCTGAATAGTGAATATATCAAAGAGTCACTCATCTTTGACCATGCTGTATTAATATAAAATTGCAAGACATTCCTGAACCGGTTTATCAAAATCTTTGTATTTGTATTGTACCAAGTGAGTATAGACTAGATATAGCTCAGCCACTATACAGTGTTAGGTACACATGCTCATCTAATTTCCCACTATGGGGATACAAGCCTCAGCATGCCATAAACAATCATGATTAAAAAAAATGTATCATACACATATATTTTTTTAAATTACAAGTGGCAGGGCCGCCAGGCAACGAGTCTAACCTGCTGTGTTGTCTCCGTCTCCTTCAGCCACTCCCTGTTACAGCCCAGTCAACTACCCCTCGCTGGTCTCTCCGCCCGCTGATTGACACACTTCCTCACCACTTTGAACTGAGGACTTGGAAGCAGCGTTTGCAGCGGTGGTTCTTCCCTGGAGGCGGAGTTTGCGGCCGAGGTTTTTCACTGAAGGCAGCAGGTTGTGGAGGTTCTGTGTCCCCAGCGGTTGCGGCGGTTCTGTGTCCGAGGCGGCGGTTGCGGCGCAGGTATTCAGTTTAAGTATCGGAGGATTTGCACAAATACAAGTACTTATGCAAATACTCGGTATCGGCGCATCCCGGTATCGGCGCATCCCTACTAAACTCCCTATTATACGGCACCCACAGGGATTTGGGAAATTCCCGATAAATGTAGTTTCTGGTTGCTTGAGAGTTGCTATTAAAAATAGGTCTAACTAATGCCATACCCCATATGATACCATACCAGAAACTCTGTATTGACTTCATATTAATATTGAAATGCACAAATAAAAACAAAAAATAGGCACACGATCATTTCCAGGACACACGCCGCAGATCAGCAGAACAGTGAGTACACAGGGGATATTCTTTTTAAATGAAAGTTCTGGTTAGTTGATTACCGGATAACAGAGAGTTTACAATTGGTAGATTTAGAGTTACTATTAAATATAGGTCTAACTAATGCCATACCCCATACTATAACAAACTCTGTACTGACTTCATATTACAATTGAAATGCAGTGATCAAAAGCAAATAGACACAATTAAAACAAATGGAGAAAAATAATAGGTACACAATAGTTTCCAGGATAATACATGAAGGAGATCAGCGGAACAGTGAGTACACGGGGGATTTTTTTTTTCCTGGTTAGATGAGAGTTCTGGTTAGCTGAATACCAGAGAACAGAGAGTTTAATGTGTATATATATTTTCCACACTAATCTCTGTATACGGACTCAAAATGACTTTTTAAGAAAGGGAAAACCCTCTGCATAATGTAAGATTTAACTTCATATGGAGAGCTGTTCACAAACTCAATCCAGCTAGCAGAGTATGTTTAAAGGCTCCTTGTCCACTTTTATGTAAAGGGAAATGTACAACACAAAGGTGTTACCCTGAGTGGGGTTACTCAAGATATCACTTACAAATCAAGCATTCAGCCTCCTGGCTTTTTGGTTGCTGCAAAGGCTACTCGGGCTCTTTGCTTTAGGGGCCCTGTATGTTCCTTCCCAGGCAGTCCTTTTCAAGTCTATACACACATTTTTGCTGCCACTGCAGTGTTGGTTCACCAGCCATGCCCCGTGCCCAAGCCTAGACTCACTCTTTAGGTGCCCATACACTGTACGATTCTCGTATGAGAATCGCGGGAAATCCAGCGATCGTACAGTGTATGGAAGTCGTGCGACCGTTTCTACCGTACGGTCGCACGTCTTCCATCGAACAAGCATGCTGGAAAATAGTGGCCTGCTTGTTCGACAACTGACGAACGGGCCGGTGTGCGCACACTGCCCGTTTGCCGTCCTTGCAAGCCCGCCCCTCATTGCAGTCATCGCAAGTACGATCTGCCTGTCCAAGATGGGCAGATTGTACGTTTTTTTAAGTACTTTACAACCCTCGCAAGACTTGTAAAGTGTATGGGCACATTTATGCAGACCAATTCCAACTTAATTGGATGCCTGATCTCAGACACCCTTTCCTGCCTGCACATGGTCTCCACAACTAAATACCTCCATCTCTTAAAAAGAGACTGTTCATCTGTCACAATATATACATTAAAAGATATACAGTTACTCTTACAATTATGTACATTAAAGTTTCAATTAGCTACAGGGATTTTTTTATACTTCTAATACAAAAATATGTGCGTAAAAAAAAATAGTCAGGCAAATAAGCGAAACTAGAAAAGGAATATGTTGTCTACACTAGGCTGGGTTCACACCTAGGCGTATCGAATATGCGCATTTTTACCGCGATTCGCGGTTAAAAAACCGCGCGTCTCTGAGGGCTACCTGGCTGTATCCCAATGGATACGCGCAGCAAATACGCCCCAAAGAAGCTCCTGTACTCCTTTGAGCGTAGGGCGTTTTGCAGCGCGTTCCTACGCGCTGTAAAACGCCCAGGTGTGAACCATGCCCATAGGCAATCATTGGTTTTCATATGTTGAGCGTTTTACAGAGCGTAGGGACGCGCTGTAAAACGCCCAGGTGTGAACCAGGCCTAAGCTCTGCAGAAAGTATCTTTTAACATAGTTCTAATTTGAAGGGATAGTTTTCCTTTCTTTCCCCAAGTGCTAAAATATTGATACACTTGTAGTCTTTTCATACTACCCTGTTTCCCCTAAAATAAAACCTACCCCGAAAATAAGACCTAGTACTATTTTTGGGAATTGCTAAAATATAAGACCTACCCCGAAAATAAGACCTAGTTGTGACCATTCCCAGGGCCGGTGGTGGCATAAGGGGGAACTTGAAGAGCCACGGGAGAGAATCAGCGGTGCCAATGAAGCCAGCGCTAGAGGAAGCGAGGCGGCAGCGGAGGGAGCAGTGCCGCATAAGGCGATGCTTCTTCTATAGCGCTGGCTCCTGTCACAGGCGGAGTGATATCAAATGCACCCCGCCTGTGAGAAATCTATAGTGAAAGTGCGTTTCGCTCATTCTGGCCAGCGATTGGAAAGGTACGGCTCCCCTGATTGCCCTGATCACCCTATTCTTAACTTGGCCATTTTGGATTATCTAATTTGGATTTGCATTAACTTTGGATTGTTGTACATTAAAAAAAAAATAAGACCTACCCCGAAAATAAGACCTAGTGTGTTTTTTTGAGCCAAAAAAAATATAAGACAGTGTCTTATTTTCGGGGAAACACGGTAGCACTGGAAGACATCTGATGACAATCAGACCCCCTTCCCAATAGACCTCCTTCACAGAAGCAGCACTGCACCACAGCTACAGCATCTTCCTAGCTCTGATATAGTAGAGATGATGTTAGCAAGTTAGTACCACCATAAGCTGTTAAATATAACATTACTGTAGACACACACCTGGGAAATATGCATCATCAGAGGAATGCTTCTTTTTCTTCTTATGAGAATCTGATGGCAAAAGCGTAAAGTCTGTGTCCTAGAAACATAAGTATCATACCATGTGATCATTTTGCATAATACATCATTTAGATTAGTACATACTGTCTTATAAAACTCAAGTAAATCTAATCTGGCCAAAAGTACATTGAAAGTAATATCAGAAAAGTTATTAACACAGCCAAATTAAGGAACCCCATTAACATTCATACAAGCAGCACTTTATATTGTAAACAACAAAATGTCCTACAATGTATGAAGTAGATACAGTTAAAGTAATAGACAGCTTAAAAGATTTCAAACTAATCTAGATATAAACACAGCAATACTTGACCCTGTATATTCGTAATAAACATAAAAATAATACATACTTTCTGGTCCAAGGAGTCCTGCGTTGTCTTTCTTGTAGCTATAGTTCTTATTGTGCCAGTGTACTTCTGCACACCATTTTGAAAGTCCTCTGCCTGGTTTTCCTCCCAGGCATGTGCAGAACCACTGCAAAGTTTCTGCTGAATGCAGAGACCCAAGAGATCTGCGGTGTGTCTGCACACGTGTGCGAGAATACCACACATGTGCACACACGCTGCAGGTCCCAGCATTGAATGCACTGTAATCCCACGATCCTAGGAGGCAGTGGCCTCCTAGGATGTGTAACGTGAAAATCAGAGGAGGCAGCCTGTGGGCAATCTAGCTCATCATCTGACAGGGGAATAAAAGGTATTTACACTGTATTGGACGTGATGACTCACAGGACCTTTGAACACCGGAGCGGGTCGGGGGAGGCTTCAGGGACCGGTCTAACAGCCAGCCAGCTGCAAGTTTTGGGTGAGGATAACTGTGTTACTTTAGCCCCTAGACAAACACAAGCACTTAACCCTTGCAGTGTGGGGGTAGCACCAAAGATAATTTCTCCCTGAAGTTCTTTACAGAGGGCAGATCATGTTGGACCAATCGGATTGAATTTTTTTTAATGTAACACAAACCTTTGCACCAGGGTGGTGCTGTGGACATATCAAATACTTTGCTGAACTCAAAATAGGCTATGGTTCCACATAATGATCTCAGAAAAAGCTGTTCGTGCTAGGACTTAAAGGGTTATTCCACTTAAAATAATAAAAAAAAAAAAAATTGTAAAAACTGAATATGGCATACATAAAATTGTAGCCAGGGGTGCGGGATTCTGGTCGCCCAACGCCCAGGACATGCAGTTCTGGGCGCCAAGCAGGTTTTTTTTTCTACATTTAGCCACATTTAGAGCGAGGGAGCACAACTCGTTTTTTACAAATTATATGGGCGGCCAACCACTTGTAGCAGCCTCCCCACTGTGGTTTTTGGGGTCCTCTGCTCTTCTGGAGAACCCTGACCATGGCAGTGATTTCAGGATGGAGAGCAAGGAGCTCTCTCTGCTCTGTGTAATCAGAGACAAGAGGGCTGTACTCACAGCATTTCCTGTCTCAGCTGTCACAAGCTGGGCTGCACAGAAAATCTGGCACAATGCTGTGCTCAATCTTCTGTACTCGAGGGCAGGCTCCATAAAGAGAACCTGTCACCTCCAAATGACATCACCTATGGGCCTGTCTGATAGCAATAAAGTTAAGTGAAAAAATAAAAAGTGAAAAAAATAATGAAAATTAAAACAACCCCGTCATCTCATGCGAATAAACAGACATAGGGCTTTGTGTGTGCGTGCTAGGTGCTGCCCCCATTCCACTGTGTGCCATATTATGGTAGCCGGGCAGCAGTGCTCTCGAACACATTAAAGGGTAAGGTCACTTTCCCAAGTAATTTGGGCAAATGGAATTACCCCCTCAAATCTGGCCCCCTCTCTTACCTTTTGGTGAACGGCCCTTCCCCTCCGCTGGTACAGGTGTATTATCTGTATCAGATGCTGCCGTCCAGCGCTATGGATTTTGAACTTCGCTCGCAAGTTGTGAGCTCGTTGGTTAATGCGGTCAAGTGACCGCACTGACCAATGAGAAGCGCTTCTAAGCACAGTTAAATATTATTTTTGTATCATGACAAGTAGATTGTCATAAAGGACAAGTAGATTTGGACCCTGAACTGTAAGTAGATTTGGATTGAACTTTAGACCCTGGACAGGTAGCTTTTTTTAAACATTTCCACACCCATGTGTAGCACAGGCCATTTTCTAATTTAATGTTATTAAAAATGAGCTTTCCATTTTAAACTGTAGCTACTGTAATGTTCTAAAGTGTCAAAAAAATTCAACTCAATATTGCAACCTGGGGTATTCTGGTCACAGTTGGTGTACAGAACTCCCCCAGAAACATCACTTCCTGATTCTGTGATTGGCTGACTGATTTTCCCAGAAGTCTGATCATAACGAACCCAGAACCTCCTATTCAGGAATCAGTTTGAAAAGGACGTGCTGCAATAAGCAGCTATTTCTTCAGAACAGAAACTGGTAGGAATCTGCAACACCCAGAGAGGACTGATTTTTTTTCCCCCTCAACAAAGGTGGAACTACCCTTGAGTGATTCAGCGGATATGCATCTAGCTAGAGGTGAGATTATATCAGAATGTGGTAGTAAAAGGGAGTTCATTTAAAACAGAGACTAGTCAAAAGTGATGAGCAATAAAAAAGATTTGGGGTGTTTACTGCAGATTACTGTAAAATGAGCTAGCATTGTGGGGAATTCTGGGGTGCATCACTAGAGGAATCAGCAGCAAGAGGAAGGAGGTCCTGATCCCCCTTAACTTTAGTTAGACCTCATTTAGAAAACTGTGTCCATTTCTGAAGACCTCACTAACAAAAAGATATTGAGAAGATAAAACGAATCGAGGCAGGCAATAAAAATGGTGAAAGGTCTGAGGGATAAATCATTTCAGACGAGACTACAGGACCTTAATATGTACAGTCTTAAGTATGTACAGTCTTAAGTAAAGAAGTAAAAGGGGGGAACATGACTGAAACCTTTAAATACATTAAGGGCGTAAATAAAGTTCAGGAGGGCAGTATTTTCAATTTGAAGATGGGAAAATGGTATCAAACTGTAGAAAATTTCAAAACTAAAAAGTATTATTTTACTAAAAGGAGTAGTTGTTGCTTACAACAGACTATTCTACTGCCTGTAGACAAGACAAATATCAGTAAATTGGCCACAATTAGACTACACGCTGCTCATTTTGGGTCTATGTGGAATTTTGGCATCAATAAATATGTACTAGCAGGGTATCAATATTTGCATAAACATAGCATGGCATAAATGCTGCTTAAACTCAAGTATGCTTAATCATTTTTCCCCAATATGATCCATAGTGAACATGTGGAGTGGTCAACAGCTGCTGTGTAGACAAAACAAGAAACAAAACATTTTTTAGAATAGGTTCACCAAAGATGACAACAATATTAGGGATGCACCACAATTTCGGCCAAAAATGGTACTATGGACAAAATTCCAAAAATGGGTGAAAATTTGGTGCATCCCCACCTGTGTCGGCAGAGGCAGCGGGGGACATAGGGAACACAGAGCTGATCCAGTTGCCAGCTCCCAGCGGGGAGGAGAGAAGCTGTCAGGTGGCCGAGCGGGGAGGAAAGCTCTGGCAGGAGGGGGCAGAGCTTCAGGATCGGTAAATATATTAATATTTACCAATCCTGTGCTGTACTGAGTGAACCTTGAGTGATCAATCCTGATCACTCTGTTTGTAAATAAACTTAGGACATAGTGATTACTATGTGCCCAGTTATGAATGAACAGGAAGTGCTATACATCACTTCCTGTTCATCTTTGAATGGAGACATAGTACTATCTGCTCAATTTATGAATGAACAGGAAGCAGCTCAGTACAGTACAATCTCCAGATTGTGAATGAACAGGAAGCCTCTGTACTAAGAGCTTCCAGTTCATTGAGTACTGGGGCTGCAGAAAAAGAGATTGAGGACTCTGTGACCTTAAGCTCCTTTTCTATTTCAAAAGGGAAATAACAGGGGTTTAGACCCCCAAAACAACGAACAGTAAAAAGAAAATAAAAATTTAAATTTTAAGAAAGGCTGGAAAAAAAGCCATTCTTGGTTTCGGCCTGACAAATTTTGATATTTCAGTTTTGCTCTAAAAAATTTATTTTCGGTGCATACAGGAAAAACAAATCTTACCTTGGATCTCTTTTTAGAAGATTTACGGACTTGTTCGGCAATCTCTTCTTCCTCACGTAAAAGATCCTTGTATGATCTCTTCTTCTCCCTCTGGCTCCTGCCAGCTGCCAAACTCACATCCTCCATTCCACGATCTGGGTCCAGAATTTCTGATCATAAACAAAGCAGCATGTCAAGTATGGAAGCGCTTGAACTCTGACAGCTCCATACATCACATGTTGTCCAACTAAACAGTATTTCTCCTTGTAACTACCGTGTTTCCCCGAAAATAAGACACTGTCTTATATTTTTTTTTTGGCTCCAAAAAACACACTGGGTCTTATTTTTGGGGTAGGTCTTATTTTCGGGGAAACAGGGTATCAACTGAGTCACTAAAAACTGCATTGCATCTTGAGCAAAAGCTGAGAAAAAGGCTTAAATGAACAATGACCAAAGGAACTTGCTCAACTGTCTATTTCCAGTTCTGTATTCTAGAAGGATCTGTACTATATCCTGTATATTTTTTACTGTAAAATCTACATAAAAATATTGCTCCTGCTTCCAAGAGATATCAGTGTGGCATCTGAGGCATATTAACGGGGGGGAGGGGGAATAATAAAGTGTAAGTAAAAAGGTGGACATTGTTAAAGTGAAATGGACTCAAGCATGTGAATAACATTAAATATACCATCAATCAGAGTA